CCCGCATCCCTGCACCCCCTGCCCAGCCCTGTGCACCCCCTGACACCACCCAACAAGCCCCCTGCACACTGCCACTACCTCCAAGGGGCACCTTCCCTGCACGCCCACCTGCACAGCACCCTGTCCATGCACCCCGCCTGCACCACACTCTGTGCGGCACACTCACCGCACACCCACCCGCACCCCGTACCAAGCGCCCTGCACCCCCACTCCGCATCCCCAGCTCCTCCAGGGGCCACCGAAAATGCTCCCTCAGGCTGGAGTTTTAAAGCAATTCCACTCTGAGGAAGGGATTCCTTCGCGTTTCGAGGCGCGTAGGAAGTAGGCGGGAAGCAGACGCAGAAGGTGTAGCTGTAGATGCAAGGACTCCCCAAGAGCAGGGACGCGCGTGTGGCTCAGAACACCACCCACTTCAGGGCGAAAGGATTTGGTGCTCCCCAACACCACCAAGAGAGAAAACCGGATGCCCTGCGAGAGAGGAACGCGTCCAGCCACGTGCAGAGGTTGGAGGCTGCCGCGGACCGGGTGAGGAACCGCTAAAAGAAGTTTGCAGACTTCTGCCCCGCATTTGCCAGCTGGCCCACCAGCGTCTCGCTGCTGAAGAGTTACGCACAACGCTCACTTTGGTGGTTTATTATTTCCCTACCCATTTCTATGTACTAAAAGGCCAAACATGAGCAAACAGGTCCTTCTCCGGGATGCAGATGGGTTCAAGCAGGACCTGGAGATGGACTAATGGCGTGCCACCTCTGTGCAGTTGCTAACCCCCCCAAATCTTTAGTATCCTCTTGGATTTGTATCTGATATATTTATATAAATATATTTATACATATTTTTATAAAGGAATTTTTGCTAAAGGATTTGGTTTAAAGATACTCGGCACTTACTTATGTTTTTTACAAAACCCACCAGGCAGAACGGAATGAGCTGTAAGTGTGTTTGGCCAAAGTTCCCTGCTGACATGATGGAAAAATCTTGGAAGTCAGAGGTAAGATTTCTTACCCCGGAGCCCCTGCCCAACAGAACCCGTAAAGCACATTCCTGTCGCTGTGAGTTATGCTCCCTTCCACGTGCTAATGGATACCTGTGCAATATAAAAGAAAATATAGTCGCTTGTGGTGTGGTGACAGGGCAGCACAGCCGGGCGCCGGGGCAGAAGCCGCAGTGGCCCTCACCCCCTCAGCTCCCTGCGATCTCGCCGTGACACCGAGGGAAGCGTCTGGGTCCTGGCTCGGCATCCCTCCAGCACGAGATGGGATGCTCCGCATCGGTCGCAGAACCGCTGCTAAGGAGCCGCGGGGAAACCCCAACTGACGAAGTGATATCTAGAAGTGCTGGATATTAAAGATGCGCAGCTCCTGCCCCTCAGGACACTGGGGTATCTACCTTCTGCTTTAGTAAAACTCAACGCACGAACACTGGCAAATTAAGTGATCTACCAGTTTAAAAGACAAAATATTTTTGAACAGTCTTCGAGTGGTCTGAGCAGAGTACATTACATGGGAATTGCCTCCTAAGAAATACTTCTCATTATAACAGTACTTAGCACTTCCACGGTGCTTCCCAGCCTCCCAGCACTGTACAAACATTAGCTTCTTAATCACTCATTAGGGACGATCCTACAGAGCTGGGCCATGCCTCATTGAGTAAAGTCATCCCCAACTCACTCAGTCCCTCCTGCTCCCTCCGGAGACAACTTTGAAGGTTCTCCGATTCCCACGAGAAGTTCAGAGCAAGCAAGGAAAAGTCTGTTCAAAACGAACAGTGGTGGCAGTCCCCTGCCTCCAAACTCGCCCGTTTTTCACCGCAAGGAGAGCCAGAAGTGAGCATCAGCCCAGCCAGAGACCTGCTTCCATTAAAACCTTGCATTAATGAAGTTAGGAAATTCAGGAAGGTGGGACACAGCAGTCTTTAGCAGCGCTGTGGGCTTGCACCTAAGGACACAACTTCTTGTTGCTGCAAAACAGGGCTGGGAAGGGATGGAAAAAGCCACAGGAATGAGAAGTATGTTCCTACAACCGGCCCATTTCTTCTTCTGACCGTAGCTAGATGGGTTACCCCCATGCACCAGCCAACTGCACTGCCTGAAAGGAGCAGCTCTCAGTCACTGCGCTGGGTGACAGCAGCACCCCGAGGGCCCGTGCCGGCCCAGGCTCCATCCTAGCACTCAGGAGCAGGGTACCCGCTCCAGGGACCTTGCTGGCTACATGGACGAGAAAGCACGGGAGCAAAAAGAGACACGGTAAAAGTGAAGTGTCCCCAAGGCGAACTGAAAAGATGACAATCAGTTCATGCAATCTTAAAACTTTCTACTTTTCCCACAAGGATGTTCTAATTCAGAAATGAAGGCTGACACACCCTTTAGCTTAATCCACTTTTTGGAAGTGCTGATTTAAACCCTCAGGTGACTGACTTCATATACATTTCAAAAAAAAAAAAGTGCCTTCTATAAAATAATCATTGTGTCTTCTATTAAAAAAAAATCATTGTGCCTTCACTGTCTATAGTGAAAAAAGTAAGCAAAGAAAACAGGCAAAATACAAAAAAAAAAGATCCCCAAAGAAGTAAACAGAAAAATCTGATAGAAAGTCATCACAGAAACTCAAAAGCCCAGAGGAAATCACAAACCCGACCCATACCCATCCCACTGGCAGATATCTAGAAAAACATCATTCGAATGATGACCCCACAAACCATGGCAGGGCAGAGTAAAGGTTCCAAAATCCTGTGTTCAGTCTTTTTTTTCCCTTTAATGTTACTGTTTCAGACTACCAATAGCCTGCATCTAATCATCCAAAACCGGTTGACTTTCATCCCGAGCGAACACACACCGAGTCCAGCCCGTCTTCTGCTGTTATTCAGCACGCTTACCCGTTTCCAAGAACTAACACCTCATTTTAACGTAATCGCTCTCGATGCCAGCTTTTTTCCCTCCTTTCTGTAGTATGTCATTTTTCTATGTTATCAATCTCCTCGCCGTTCACCCATTTGGGCACCCTTCCATCGAGCCTGGCATTTCGTCTGTGTCTGAAAACTTCCAGTGGTGCCAAGTGTTTGCATACCTTGCAAGTGTTCTGTCAAACTCTGCCCCTTAGAGCTGCCAAAAACCACCACTCAAAGTTAGCAAAGCAAATACCTCCTTAGACAAGCTTAATAAACATGCCAGGAGAAACCCTAGACTTCATAAAGACATTGCTCGCCTGACGAGGCCAAGCTTGAGGTCTTCAGCACCCTTTCATGTCCCATTTAGGGCAAGATCCATTACCCTTGTCACACGTTCTCCATCCGCACTCTGCGTAAGTGCATCGTATCTGAGCACCCAGATTATTTAAAACAACCAATCCCGAGCTCCACACCTCTTTTACTCCACACCTCTTTTCATGCTGCAATTACCAGCTAACTACCAGGCCAACCTTGTCTCTAATCAGTCTAAACAAAGCCTTTTATTTCGTCGCACGAATCGACAAGTCCAGCAGATACGCCTGGTGTTCTGCACTGCGCAAAGAAGCAAACTTTGGTGCCCATCAGCTCTTACGGCCTCATCCCAAATAAATCCTCATTTCTTTGTGTTCTTGACTGATGAATACCGATTCACTAACAAGAGTGGGAGTAAAAGTGAAAGAGTACATTGAGCAGAGGAGGGGGGAGAAGAGGAGGGACGGAAGCGGAGAAAATGCAAGAGGAAGGACAAGGCGGGAGGGGGTAAGACACCATGGGGGGGAAG